CCGCCGCCGCCGCCGCCGCCGCCGCCACCATCATCAGCACCACCTCCACTTCGCCTCCTTGATCAGTCGACCCCGTGCAACGCGGCATGCCGGCTGCCGCGTGATACTGTATCCACATATGTGGTGCGCTCTTCGTGAAAGCCCGCCGGAATCGTAAAGTCGAAATCGTAATTTACAACGATTGTCATTGAGAAGCAAAGATAGAATAGGAGTACATCACGAGAAATGACGCCAAATTGTCTCTAAAACAATATACTTTAAGAGAAGGGGGTGAAAAGAAGGGCGAGTAAGCGGAAGCGATTTTGAGAGCTCTATATTCTGCGCGCGTGCGTGTATATATTGTGTACGGGAGTGTGCATGGGAGGGAAAGGGTGAGTTGAGAAAGCAAGAAGAGGAAAGGAAGGAGGAAACGGAGAAAGAAGAGAAGGATTGTGATGGGGATGATCGGGTTAGAGGGTGGAAATTGGCCGTTTGAAAGCTCGTGGTTTTGATGAGGAATAGCTTGTGCGTAGCTATTGGCATGACTTTATGATGAAAAGGGACAATGGCGGTTCTCTCCCTAAAAAGTAGTGTTAGAATTATTTTAGTTGATCGGGGTCAAAAATTATTTGAGAGAATATATCTTGAAGAAATTGTTTATCGTTATACGTTACTTGCAATTTAATGTAAAAAAGCTACTATAAGTTTGCTCTTACGAAGTAATGATGATCCATTATTCGAAACGAAGTAACGTGTTTGTATGTCTGGAAAAAAAGTTCTCTTCCTTGTGATATGAAGAATACATATTGGAATATTTTTTTTAATTGTTTTCTTAATTTTAAGAATATAACTAACCTTAGAATAGACCGTATCTTTTAATTTTAAAGATATTCTTTCTTTTTCTTACGGAATCGCGATATTTTACATATTCCTAACTTATATAATATATCCTTCTATTCTTTTGTAATGTTAATTGATCTTTTTTTAGTCTTAGTTAATCGTTTCTTCTTCAGAAAAATATAATCAATTTTACAGTAAACTGATTCTAATTGAAGAAAACAACAGTTCGACAGTAGATTAAAAAATTTTTCTCGTTGAAGACAATTAAATTGCAAGTATTATTTTTTTACATTATTAATAATTTTTTACGTTAGGAAAATGAGATTAATTAGGTGATAAATGACTAAAAATCAAATTTTGAATAATAGATATTATTTCTATCATTGATACTTCGAATGATCGAATATTTCAATTTAAAGTCATTGGATATATCTAAAAATGAGATGTTTGTTGTACTTGTCAATTACATATATTTAATAAATTAATTGATGTACATGAGCTCTTAGTGATTCTAAAAGATTTCAGGATTTGTAATAAAATAATTTTTTTTTCAAAGAGAAATTCTTTTCTTACGCCGATAAGATTTTTTAGTCAATCTTAACGAAATTTTTAATAATTTTAGATATCCAATTTGATATTTTAATAAATATTGAAATTGTACGAAGTGATGGATGCTTAACGGTTTAATAGTATGCACGACATCGTCGCAGGATTTTATCTTTGGTTCATGAAGCTTTAATGATGATTCGTGGTGGACTGTATTATTGCAATCGACACCGTGCGGTATTCCGGTGTTGCGGTTTACAGTGGATGCTACAGTCGGAAGTAGAAATTGATTCGCGAAATACGAAATTATTATCATGTGTCGCCAACGGTCATGTAATGCGATAATCGGAAAGCGAAGTAGGAATACGATTATCCATGTAAAGCATTTATTTGATTAGTGATCGAAACGGCTGCTTTTACATTAAAATGTTAATTTTAAACATAAAATAATAAACTTTTTATCTCATTTTAATCCTTCTGGAAAAAGAAAGAATAAAAAATTAATTACCTTTGGTTAAACTGCAGATTCTCGTGCGTAGATAACTATTTGTCAAGATAATAATCATTGTTTTATCATGGCAAGTAATATAATTTGTTGTAACACGTGATAATATTATGATCTATTTTCAAGCATTCTGTAAAAACTATAATAAATTAAAATTCTTATTGTCACATCAAGCTATTTCTTATCAAACATTTTAAGTTTTATTAATTAGTGAATTGATTTATTTGTCAAAGTATATATATCTCATTTCATTCTTCTTTTTTAAAATAGGCTTAAACAATCGAAAAAGAAAAATTACTGTTCCATTGCGGAAATGTTGACTTTCCATTCGCTAACTTGTTGAGTCTCTCTCTCTCGGTAGATACGTTGCCCATGGGACACACTTTATGACAATTCTAAATCTTTTTACGTGGATATTATTTTTAAATGATCTATAAAAATTTTGTAACAAACAGAAATATCCAGTGTAATATATTGATATTGCATTGTGGAATTCAATGTATGATTCACCTTTTTAACAAAATATTTTGATTTATAGCATTGATATTTATTAAATAATTAAATAACAGAAATTTGTTGTTTCATTGTATTCTTATACAATTATCATGCATCATATATAAATAAAGAAGTTAATTCTCAACTAAATTAATTTATTAATGTTTTTAAAGCAAATGTAATTCAAATGACTAGCATCATTGTACAAAAGATGATTTTTTTTTTTTTAGAAGAGTAGAGCATTTTGGAGGATTAAAATTGCCTGTGTAAACTGTGGTTTTTAAATGAATTATAATTAAAAGAGATTCGACATATTTTAATTTTTTTATAATATGATAATACTTAATAACTATATAAAAAATGAGTCATTCTTGTATTTTAATCTCTACTTCTTCGCGAGTTTTGTAATTATTGCGCGAGAATTAAAAATTAAATGTGTAATCGCGATAGCACAATAGCAAAATTATTTTTGTATTTTAGTTTAATGCACAATGTATTTTAATGCCAATCTTTAGGCAAATCGAGCAATCCAATAAATACGAATTCATTAAAACGTATTTATTTATCTGTGATATTATAGCGGATTGCGGAGGTTCGTTCTTGTATCGTTTTTCAAAGACCGATATCAAATATAAATGCACAGAGCGATAAAAACATGGTGAGTGTCTTTTTATAGAATGGCAAAGTATTTCTCCGTTAAAAAGCAACACACAAAGTGCATTGAGTGTAACTTGAACAAGATCGACGATTCCTAAGGAAACTCTATCCTTCAAAATCGCCTTACTCTTCACGAAAGAAAGAATCACTCTTCCGGCATCTCTCGTCCGATATCGCGATCCTTCCGATGCACCGTATGCATAAGAGGAAACTCCTTCCCAGACGGTGACGACGAAGACGAAGACGAAAACGACAAGAGACAACGCCCGAAGCGTCTCTCTTCTGAAAATCTAACGAGACCGATGTGTGTCGGGTGAAAACTCGACGAGTTCATTTCCCCATAACGCCAACGTTCACGCGGGAGTATCGCATATATTACGGGAATATATCGATGGACACATACTCGAGCCACACAGTGTGCACCTATTTCCATTGTCCAGAAGAGAGTTGTTAAAGAGACACTCGGAGACGTCTGTCTTGACCGATTAGCGAAACTGTGTTCCTTATCGAGTGCGGTTAAGATATTCGGTCTGATTATGAGTTCTTGGATGAACTGTCCGTCCTCTTTGCTGCTGTTGCTGTTAGGCTTGAGCCTGCACAGCGCGTGCATCACGCGAGCGAACGTTGCCGGTCAGCACGGTAGTCAAGACGGTGGTCACGAGTCTTTAATGGTGGAGACTACTAGTGGGCTGATGCGCGGTTTCTCTCGCACGGTGCTCGATCGTGAGGTTCATGTGTTCTACGGAGTGCCATTCGCGAAACCTCCCGTTGGGCCTTTGCGATTTCGCAAGCCGCTGCCGATCGAGCCCTGGCACGGGATTTTGAACGCTACCACCTTGCCCAATAGCTGCTATCAAGAGCGCTACGAGTACTTTCCAGGCTTTGAGGGTGAGGAGATGTGGAATCCTAATACCAACATCTCCGAGGACTGTCTCTACCTCAACATTTGGGTACCGCAGAAGTTGCGTCTACGTCACAAGGAGTCACCAGACAACGTTGGTAATAACGGTATGGCGATATTGGTTTGGGTTTATGGCGGCGGCTTCATGAGCGGCACCGCCACCCTGGACGTCTACGATGCCGACATTATGGCGGCGGCCAGTAATGCGATCATCGCTTCGATACAGTATCGTGTCGGAGCTTTTGGCTTTCTGTATCTCAATCAGCACTTTGTCAATAGCGAAGAGGCGCCAGGTAACATGGGCCTCTGGGATCAGGCCTTGGCTCTTAAGTGGCTCCGTGAAAATGCGCGCGTCTTCGGCGGCGATCCCGACTTGATTACAATCTTTGGCGAGTCTGCGGGTGGTAGTTCAGTGTCCTTGCATCTCATCTCGCCGGTCACGCAAGGTCTAGTGCGTCGAGGTATCCTTCAGAGTGGCACCCTCAACGCCCCATGGAGTTACATGACCGGCGAAAAGGCAAACGAGGTGGCTCGTGTGCTGGTAGATGATTGCGGATGCAATTCGACAATGCTGCAAGAAAACCCAGCACGTGTTATGGCCTGCATGAGATCGGTGGACGCGAAAACTCTCTCCGTGCAGCAGTGGAATAGTTATGGGGGCATTCTCGACTTCCCGTCAGCGCCCACCATCGACGGGGTTTTTCTGCCTAAGGATCCATTGGACTTGGTCAAAGAGGCGGATTTCAAAAACACCGAGATCCTGATTGGAAATAACGAGAACGAAGGTAGGAAACACTGGCGATGCGACACAATGCCGCGACGTGTGCGAGAGTGTTGTTTCACGGGGGAATTATTACCGACGTTGTTTACGATCGGCTGTGCCAACGGTTAAAGCCAAAAGCTATATGGCCGATTTTCTGAATGAGAATATGTGTTTTCTCTGTTCGGAGATTATGTTCTTCGGGCAGTTCCGGCAACGGAATGGCCATGGTATTTTCTGGTTGCGATTATTTTAGTACATGTACAGTGGATAAGAATTCAACTTTACTGCAATTTGCTATAACTTACAATCAGTTTAGTGTGAAATGTGAACTGAAAATATAGAGATTTATATATTAAAGCTTTTCTTAAATATACCTTTTTATTCCATTTGTCTTTTTAATGCTATTTTTCAGACTACAGAAAAAATATTTTTGTAAATATGTAAATTACATGCATGAGCAGGACATTATATTATAATTATATACTAAATTTTTATTGATATATTTGACATATTTGATTCTTTGATTTTTAAATTAAAAGACAATTGTCGAAAATAGAAACTCGATGGTTTCTCGAATTAAAGTAATCAGTTTAGTTAAAATTTAATGCGGAAGTATATATTAAATTATTATTACATCGACGATTTAGCGTTTATATAGATGTTAATTTTTAAATATTGATGTTATATAAAGGTCATTAAACATAATCTTTAATCTCAGCAATTTTCGTTAATTGTATCTCACGTTATAGTTAGCTAACTATTCTATTCTTTGTGCATTATGCATGTTATGCACAAGTATGCTCGCGATTTAATTACTGTACGATTATATAATTCTATTTCACTTTCTACGTGCGTATTTCTTACGATAATTCTCAAATCGTAAAATAGGGACAGAAAAGAGAATAAGATGCAAGAATTGCAGAATTATGAATGGAATTTAACTACCTCCATCTTTGCAGTATTAATCGTCTACGTCTATGCTGTTGATGTAGTCAACAAAGTTCTAACATTTAGAAGCACCATTTTTTTATTCAATGATATCAATAATCAAACTAGGTTACTCCAGATAGAGCTGCATAATGATAAAGACCTGTTTACGTCGCAACCAACCGCTTATGTAGTTCTGGCGTATATCGATTAAATGACCAATAGTGAAACGACATGTATGTAGCTCCTCCAACTTTACTCGTATCTGTTTCTCTCGTTGATGAGAGAATTATTGATATATTATCTTTAATTTCTACAATGTTCCACATGATGTTCTGTCCTCATATCAATGATATTTATTTAGCTTAAAGATTAAAAATCATTATATTCGTTATTACTCATGAGAATAATGTAGGTAGGTATAGTTTCGTATTAAAATTCAAATACGTGAATTTTATTTACAATTACATAAAAATTTATGTTTGATATTACTATATTAAAGTAGTATTTTAATTTAATGTCAAACATATGTGCAAGAATTTGAATCGTATTTTTCAACAATTTAAAATATTTTATGTTTTAAAGATACGCACGCAAAATGTTACACAAAAGTAAAGTCTTTTTTTGAAAAATTTTGAGATATATAAACACGTTACAGGTAGTATTATATGTGCTTCTGTGTGCGCGCACGCGTGCGTGCGTATGCGTGTGTACACTTTTTATCAGTTTATTTCATGAATCGGATATTAAAAGGATTAATAAATGTAGAGAACGTGTTTTTTAAATTGATTGTTTATTATGCCATCGTTTAAGCAATATTCTCGTAATTCAAACGGAAATTTATACAACGCTATCGTATATCCTTATTCTCGACACGCAAATGTTACTGTCAATTTATAATGACCATATTGCTTCCTACGCAGGATCGTTATCTTATGTTTGATTATCTAGGTATTCTCTGTTGCTGGTGCATCTATCGAGCATGCAAATGCCGCGATAATAAATCGTATTGTCTGTAGAAACCGCGTACACGCGTACACAGTGCGTGCGGAGTTTAATTCAAAATATAACCAAGCTTTCTCGCTAAATCGGTTAATCAAACTTTGGTATTGACAGCGAGCCACCACTGCACGCAATTCTACTTCCTTTTATTTATAGTTTCTCTAGAGAGAGGGAAGGAATGTAAGGGAAAGAGAGATATCGAGATTCTGTCTCGTTCGAATTGATTTCCGTGAATGGAGATAATTTTTAATTAATTAAAAATAGATCAGTAAAATAGATTAAATAGCGAGCGAAATAAAGATAAAGCATCAAAACTATTGCTAAAAGTGGATCGAATTTTGTACGTATCATAAAATTCGGGCAACAGGTTCCTAGTAACAGCGGATTGAGGATAGAATACGTCGAGGAATGTAATTTTTGCTGAGATTAGAGAGCTCGATCGTACTGATATAAAAAAGTTAATTAAGATTGTGTGTGTGTGTGTGTGTGTGTGTGTGTGTGTGTGTGTGTGTGTGTGTGCATGCGTGCGTGCGTACGTCGTGCGTGGGTGGGTGCGTATGTGCGCGCGCGCGTGAGAGAGAGAGAGAGAGAGAGAGAGAGAGAGAGAGAGAGAGAGAGAACAATTATACACTATTATATCAAAAACTACTTTCCGCAAGCAAAAATTACATGAAATAACATCACAATCATGCTATTTTATTACAATGATTTTTAATTTTTTAAAATGCTTAATATTATGAATAATATGAATAATATTTTAAACAATAAAAAAAATTTTTTAGAATAATATAAAAATTTTAGTTTTTAATTACATTTTTGTATATTTTTAAATGATATTTAATTTTATAAGATTATAGAATAATAATTAACTTTAATAATTAACTTTAATTCTGTTAGAATAGATATGAAAAGCAATTTTTTAAAATATATTTTTATTAAGCGAAAAAATAATAAATATTTTTAACTTTAAGTTATGAGGAAAATTAAAGGATTTAATCAAATTAAGTTTTGAAAATTTAAATGAGTAAGAATATTCTAGTTTTTAATAAATTTCAAGTAGATTTTACTTCAACAATGTTTTAATCTAATTGTCATGGTATCAAAGAATTGTCGAAAAAATTGCGATAAATATGATGGTCATTATACAAACAAATTTTTCTGTCAAAAGATTTAATTCAAAAATTTTATCGAGAATCTATTATACATGTTAAAAAGTACATGTTGTTAGATTGTAACAAGATTTATTGAACTTTAATGTTAATTTCTAGAGACTGAATACAATAATATTCAAAGTAAGAGCTAAAATGCTTTTTTGTTCTTTAATCTTTGGTATACAGCGACACATCTCAAAGCTCATTGTAACGAAGGAATCATTAATGGCTGTTTCACACTCAAATGGATCAGGGTAATTAAACGTTTTGCAACTACCCTATTTTTCCTGTTTCTTCGTTTCATTCTATATTGAATTTAAATTAGGAATATTCCTTTTTTATTTATTGTTATAGAAAATTGATAATATCTAATAATAATAACTTGCTTGTTGCATAAAGAAATTTGTTAAGACACCTTGTTATCTATTATATAATCTACTGAAATGATATATTTTATTAAATCAAGAGAGGAGCGTGATATATTTTTTATTTTGTAAACTGTTGTTAGTAAATTAGAATGCGAAAAAAATTTTAATGATGAAATTTCCATTCCATCATTTAAAGAAATTAAGAATTGTTGGTCTAATGAAAAATATGAAATTCTCAAAATTATTTAACATTTTTTTATATGTTGTAATGTTTCTCTGATAACAAGTATCACATAAAAATTTAAATTATTATACATTAAAAATTATATGGGACACAAGGATTTTGTTATGTATATTCTAAATATTATTTTATTTTTTAGAAAACACAAAATAGTTTAATAAACAATTATATATTTATTTACCTCACCTCATATTACATTATTTACAATTTTAGAGTTATTAAGTTATTCAAATTTGTGTAATATTATTTAAACAAATTATCAGGATTTAATAAATGTAATTATAAATATTATATCGCTATTATATCGATCAAATTACTCTTTTTCAATGATGATTTATTTAAATGAACATCCAATAGACATTTCTGCTTCACATTTAAACCACATTTGTCAAAAGGTTTTTGGTAATGCGATTATTAATTTGTTGTCACACACGCACTCACACACGCACGCACGCGTATATATACAGACGTTATGTATATTTATAAAATGTTTTATAAAAAAGCTTGTATCATATCTTTACATTAATTTTATTTGAATAAATTTTTTATATGTGCATGTAGATATGGAGCAAAGTTTAAGTAACATGGCGTAAATCGTGTGAAAATCCATTGTGATTAACAAGAATTATACTTTGATGCAATGTCGAGTCACGTTGTTGGACATAATTATGTAATTATGCATTTAAAATGCAGTTTCATCATGAATTATATATCATATTATCAGTTTCATTAATATACAATAAATAATATATAATAACATTTCGCGATTTCTCGTGAAATTGATGTTATTATATGTACATCGGTATGTATATGTAATAATATTTAAAATAATCAATAGGTCCTAAAGAAAAATCTAAAAAGTAATAAATAAAATGCCAATTTGAGCCAACACTATACCATTTATTCAAAGTGAATATTATAACGTATATGTTTCGATCTACAGTCAAGGTCCTCTTCAGTACAAAGAAATTTACTTAAACTATTAATTACAAAATTACATAATGATAGCACCTACGCTATCATTATGTAATTTTGTAATTAATAGTTTAAGTAAATTTCTTTGTACTGAAGAGGACCTTGACCGTAGGTCGAAACGTATAACGTTATAATATTCACTTTGAATAAATAGTATAAAATACACACGAATAATCAGTGTTGGCTCAAATTGGCATTTCATTTATTATTTTTTATAATAATATACATGTATATGTATCGTACACCATACTACATCGCTCTTACAATATGTATCGTATACAATTTTAATATATTTATTTACAAAAAGTTTACTTTGTAGATAAAAATTAATTGTCGCGAGACGTATGGCTTATACATA